TGACGGCGGAGGTGTTGGGTGACCAGCAAAAGGAGGTCCAAAGAGCCGTTGAGGGATTGAAAATCGGGCTGAGTGCTGATCGAAGGTTGGAGCCAGCTCGGAGGGCGCTGTGGGAGGTAGTGTTCTGTATCGGGGAGGTTGCTATGAGGGCGAGCGCGAGGATTGGCCATGACAATTGATGGAATAGAATGGCGTACAAAAGGCTGCGGAGCTGAAGTGAGCCTGAAAACTGACAAATCAAAGTTGGGCAACCTGGTGAAAGTAGATTGGATGTGAAAAACCAAATGTCAGTGCGGGTCAGCAGATTTGTCCTGCGGCACGCCGTAAAGAAAGGTGGGTGAAACGGGTCAAATGAAATAACTGACCACGGGCGTAAGTGGAGATTTCTCCGGATGACTGTCTTCACTAAGGTCTCGCTCAGCAGCCGGCGGCGGCAGCACAGCAGCAGGAGTCGTTGGATGTTGTGAAGTCGGTGGCGTTGTTATAGGGGAAGGGGAGAAATCCGGTTGTGAATGTGGTGCTGGGGAAACTGCTGGTGATGTGGGTGTTGGTGAGGGGGAAGGTGCTTGTCTTGGTGGCGCGGTTGGTAGTGGTGTGGAGAAGAGTTGCTGGTCCTGCTGACGTTGCATGTCTTTGAGTTCTTGCCATCGGGCTTGGCATTGCTCAACGGAGAAGCCCACTCGGCGAGCCACAGTGGTCCAGTTGGGACGAAGTTTGGGGTTTTCTTTGAGTTCGACCAGGCGACAGTCAGCGTCGCCGTCCCAAGCATCCCAGTCCGCCTGTCGGTTCAGTGGTGGTGGGGGTGGTTGCTTCCGCTTGCGTGTCGTGGTGGGTTGTGGACCTGGAGGTGTTGTTGGAGTGTTGTCTGAGTCTTTTGAGGGTGGTGCTGGTAAGCGGATGGGTGGTCTGGATGGTGCTGAGTCACAGGATGAGGTGGTAGATGGTAAACGTAGAGGGTGGTTGGGCGGAGTTGGAAGTGGCTGAAAGTGTTGGCGGAAAGTGGGGTCCGCTTGGTGGCAGTGGTGGAGGATAACAGTGTGGAGGTGTGCTACAATATCTGTTGCTTGGCGGAGCAGGTTTTGCACTTGCGAAAGTGCCACTGCGGTTCTGTGTGTGAGAGTTGTGGTGTCGTTTGGTAAAGGTGTCGGTGTGCTGCTCATGATTCTGAGATGTAGGGGTGTACAGTAGCTAAGAATCGTCACAGGTTGCTGCGGCAGCACGCCAAAGCAGCCGGACAGCGGCGAGTCTGAGGGAGCGCGTCATCACGAGGCCATGCATATGAATTAAGCGAGCATCAAATTCCCACAGGCAAAAGTGCGAATATACAATGCCGATTGGACAATCAAGTACATGAAAATCGGACATATGAAATACTCCATCAAAACCGCCGGTACATTTCGATGAAAGATGTTTACAGCAAACACTGCAGAGCTGGAAAATTGAGGGTTCAAAATTCGCGTAGCCGCTGCAGGTGGCGCTTTTTTGCTGCTACAGCGAAGGTTGGGTGGTGGTGTGAGACCAAAAGTGGATGTGGAGGTGGTAGTGGTGTGTAGATGTGTGGTAGTGGTGTCATGGGTCCGGTGGAGTGGAGTTGGTGGACCAGGCCAGTCCTTTGACAATGGCGTGGTCCGGGTGGATCACCCAGCAGCGGCCCTTCTGATGAAAGACTGCACCATGGTGGTCGTTAAGGAGGTTCATGGCGTGTTCCTCACCTCCAGAGGTATATTTTGTGGCAGCACCCCAGGCAAGGAGTGTGATGATAAGGGAATGGGAGTTCTTGTGGAGTTGCCAGGTGTTGTGGATGATGCGGGCAAGTTCGTTGTGGTCATGGGGTTGGTTGTGGGTGATGCGAACGCCCTGGGCAAAAAATCCAGGGTAGTTGGCAAAATGGAGTGTGCTGGGTAAAAATCGGCCTTGGCGTAGAATGTTGGAAATGTTGCCGACGGGGCCTGTGTGGCCTGCGTTGATGTGGGCGACTTCCCGGTGGGTTGATGTGGCGCGGGAAACCGCAGGTGGCTCTGGTGTAGTGGCTTTGGTGTTGAGGTAGGGAAGTGAAATGGCGTAGTACTGGAATTGGTCGTATTGGTGAGTTGTGTCGTTCCACTTGGCGTGGGTATATTGTCGGAAATCGGTGATCTCCTTGTAGGTGATGTTGCAGTCTGTGAGGATATTGGCAATGTACTGGTGTTGTGGTCGGTTGGGATTGTCAAGTTGGGTGGCATGGAATTCGAGCCATTCCAGGATTTGGTCTGCAGGTGTAAAGGTGTGAAAGTTGGGTGGAGGTCGCCAACGGTTGATTGGGCGACGGAGGACGGCGGTGGTGGGAAATTGAGAGGGGTCCGGGTTGGAGTGTTCGGTGTTTGGGCGTAGATCAATGGGTTGTGGTGGCGAGCGGCTGCGGGATGGCGTAAGGCTGGAGGTGTAAGTGGATGTTGAAGGCGACCGCCGTCGCCGGGTTGTGCTGTGATGTTTGGAATGGCGGTGATGGTGATGTCGGCGGCGGTGGCGATGGCGAGTTCTGTGGTGATGGTCGGACTTGCGTCGGCTCTTGTGGTGGTGGCGGCGACTGCTGTGTGGTTGCTGCGGGGAAGGTGGTTGCGGTGCTGGTGAGGCAGTGGTGTCAGGTTTGTCTGGTGCTGGTAGTGAAGATCCAGGCGCTGGCGTGGCAGATACCAGCGATGGGGATGCTGAATGTTGGGATACGGTAGCTGGTGGGGGCGTGTTTTGGACTGGTAATGGATTGTCCTGGGCAGTCGTGGGGATGGGTTGGATTAGTGGTGTTGGATCCGATGGTGGTTGCTGTTGAAGTGGAGGTTGGGCTGGTGTTGAAGCGTTGATGGTTTGTGGAGGCGGTGGCGGGGGCAACGGTTGGAGTGGAGGCTGTGTGACGGGGGGAAAAGCTGAGTAGGGTTGCCAAACGCCCTGGGGGATGGCGCATTGGGGGTCTGTGGATGGATGATTGGCAGTCGCAGTCTGTTGCTGTGTTGGAGGGGGATGTGTCAGTGTAGTGGGGGTGGGAGTTCAGCCGGTGGTGTGGGATGATGTGGTGGCAACAGGTAGGAAGGGGGAGGTGCTGCTGTCGGAAATACTGGAGTTGGATGTGTGGGCTGCGGTGGCACGTGACATGGTTGGACAAAAGTCCAAGTGGATGGTGTGCCGTAGGTCAGTGCAGTGGTGGTAGGGTTGGATAAAAACGGTGGTGGTTGAAATGGTTGTGGTTGTGGGTGAGGGTATGCCGATGGTTGTGTCGGGGGAAAAATGGGTGCAGTTGATGGTTGTGGCATCGGCCATGTGGGTTGAGGTTGTGTGGGAGGTAATGGTGGTGGCGTGGTGTGAGCGTAGGGCCACGGAAAATGCATGTCGTGGTCGTAGCTATGGCGCGGCGCGGCGCGGTAGCAAAAAGCAGCGGGGAGATGCCGAGTTGTATTGTCTTGTTGTTGTTGAAGGTATCATCTCTGGTGTCAATGGTGAGTATGTTGTAAGGTGGTGCTAGATGTGAGCTTGTTGGTAGGCGTGTGGTCATGCATCTTGAATTAGGCTGAAGAGCTGTAATGCACATCCTTGAGTTCTGTCGAGGAAAGAATCGCGGCAGCAACATAGCAAACATAGAAACACGCACATGGTTGGAAGACATGAAAAGAAAACTGAATGCTGAAATCTGAGATCTGGAAGTTGGAATCTGAAGCATTCTTCAAGAACCGTTTTTTGGCCCGGCGGCCGTTGTGGCGGTTGATTCTGTGAGGGTGTCGGTGCCTTCCTGTGAGAGTCCCGTGAGCGGTGGTGCGTTGGGGTGGTTGCTTTCCCATGCAAAAACGGCGCCCCAGTGACGGGGATCACACTCAGCACCCGAGTGGGACGGCTGAGCGAAACACACTCTGACACTGGTTTTCAGTTAAACTCAATTTCTCCGATGGGAAGGAAAGGTGATGGAACTGCATGGTGGAGAGTCTGAAAGACTTGTAGGTGTTTCAACAGGTTGTTGGTCAGTCTGCAGAACGATCGGTCGGCGCGGCTCAGCTGCAGGACAACGCGGCAAAAGGAGGGTTTAGGGGAAGTATCATGCAAACGACCATGAATCAAAAAGAGGAAAGTTGGAGTAACAGCTTGTGGAGAAAACGAGCAGGTACGCAGGGCTGATCAGGCCCCGCTTCCCACTCTCGCCCCCAGCTTCGTTGCGTGTGGTAGGGCGAGAGTGCCACACGCCCCTGCCTGTGTAAAGTGGAACGAGTGGTGGTGAAAGACCCTTTGTCCAGGGTTGGACACACACACACTGTGTAGGACTGGGGGGGTTGGGAGGCCTGCGCGCTACTTGGTTCACTATATCTAGTGAAGACCTTCACCATTTCCCCTTACCAGCAGCAGACATACACACACACAGACAGGGACTCATACACACACAGACATAGATACACACACACACAGAGACCCACACACTGCCTCAACTCACTCGACTTAACACTTCACACTGAACACTTAACACATAACTCACACTCTGACTTCATACGTGATGAAAAATGCTTTCGGGCCACTCGTCGTCTAGTGATTTAAAAGGAACAACGCCCAACAGCATCCGGTGCTGTTCGGTGTTTTCGACGCGGAGAGAACCAGGGTGACCGGTTTGCGCCGTGCCGCCCACCTCAAAAAATGAACCACGCACTACAGAAGTCACCAACAGAAACCAACAGAAACTCACCACAGCGTGCAAAGGGTGCCAAGGTCGCGGGATTTTTATTGTGGGATGAGTGGCGCAATCATCCACCCCCCCAAAAATGAGGCACGAATCCTCATAAGTGTCAACCATGGAATTCCATGGATTGGGATGGCAACCTCATTCAACCTCATGGATTATGAGGTGTCTAGACCATAAGTGTCTAGTTCTGGGTCAAGTTCTGGTTCTGGGTCAAGTTCGGTTGAAATGGCTTGTTTCTAGACCGAACTTGACCCAGAACCAGCTCTCAGAGGATCCAGCTCTCAGAACCGGGTTGTTTTTTCCCAGTCGCTGTCGGAAGCGTCGCAGGTCTGCGTAGGTCAGAGCCGAGAAACCTGAGGCGATCCGACCACCCAAACCCGACCTCGACTCTGGAGGCCATTACGGCCCCAAAGGGATCCAGGACCCGAAGAAACACTAGGGGTGTTTCACGGGGCCCTGGGAAGTGGAAGGTGCTCTAACGATCTTGGCACCCAAGTCACCAGGAGCCTTCCTGAAATCGGATCACCCAAAGACCGTCCTAGTCCTAAAATTGGGTCATCCCTGGGGGTGGGTGCCAGGGGGGTTAGACAACCACCGGTCACCTCAGAAAAACGGGCCGTTCGGAGACCAATCGTCGATCTCCGAAGAAGGGGTTCACCCCGCCCCGTCCTGTCCCGGACGGTTCCAAGGAATCGGAGGGCGAAGAATGGCTTCCGTGTGAAGGAATCGGATGGCGACCGCGTGGCCAAGGTGTCGGGGTCCAAAGAAAGCACCGATCGATCCAAGGTGCGAGTCGACAAGGGGGGCATTCACCTGAAACATCCCCTAGGCATTCGTGGCCCCATGGTTTTAATGGTCTGAATCCTTCAGAATCCCAAAGAACCATATTCTTTCAACTATAATAAGGATGTTTTTACTCAGGTCGTGCCCATTCTCTGAATGGTCGAACTGAAGGCGAACGGGGAATCGGTGACACACCCACAACCGCCACGGCCTCGACACCGAAACTTGGTCCTGGACACCTGCTTCGTTCCCCATCCCGGCGGAGCGAACGGTCGCCAGTGACCCAGCTGACCCAGTGGTCGTCCTTTCGATGCTGGTTGACCCCCCCCGGTGGATCAACAAGACCCCTCGCCCAAAAAAGGAACAGCCCCCGTCGAGGGAGCGTGACTCGCACGAGTAGTAGGCCGCTGGGAAATGGGAAGACCCGGACAGACTTCACAGCTGTCTAAGACAAACGTTGTTTTTTTTGCCAAGCTCTCCCGGAGTCAAAGACCTTTTCAAGGGATTTCCATGCCAAACCATCCAAGGGACTGGAATCTATGCCCCACAACGACCCCTCTGGCACCACCACCCTGGCCGTTTCTCGGTAGTCCTATGGCTGCCAGTCCCATTCGTCTGAGTCTGGTCTGGGCATTGGATGTCTTGAAGGAAACATTGGATGTCTTTGGACTTCGAGTCAAACCTCTCTCCTTTTCGCTGTGAAGACACCGGCCTTCCGAGCCTCAACCCTTTCAAGCCATGAACGAGAAACAGAAAATAAATACATGGATCATATCGATATACTAAAGCAACATGAACCAGAAAAAGAAAACAATCAACAATAAATGAATCGATATACTAAATGCATGGATATAGACTGTAGACTTATAGACTTATACTATCTTATACTGACTGGTGCGACTCGCAGGGAATGAGGGTGGCTGGATCCAATAGAATCTCTATTGGGGGCTCAGCCACCCTTAGACTGGATATAGAAATCATACCGTCAAACACCTCGAGAGGCCGCTCACCATTCGCTCCCGAGAGGCCGCTCAGCACCACTGCCACACGAAGAACGCCCAGCATGGGTGCCACGCCCGGCGGTCCATCGGCTGGGCCTCCGGTCGTTCTTTTGGGAGGGGTGGACCCTGAAGAGGAGAGCCTAGAAAAGACCCACCACTCAAGAAATGGACACCTGCCGGGTACAGTAGGGAATTGTTGGGGATGGTCTTGGGTCTGGATGCGTTTGGCAGATGTGGTTGTGGATGGGTCTACTCAAATGGCACCATCACACCATCTCAAGTGACTCATCATTGGAGTCAAGAATTGTGAAGCGCAAATCCAAGAAAATATGTTCTGATCTTTTATGTTGAACGGTCTTCGAAAGCCAGGAAGCACCAGAATTGCAAGAATCTCTGCACGAGATAAGTTGAGCTCTGAATATTTGGAGTTTTCTCGGCTTAGCTGCTGATTCTGGGAACCAACGACGAACTATTCTGGCAACCCTCTGAGGGGTGAATGTCATGACTTTGCTGAATGGATCTAAACGATCATAAATGATCTAGTATGATCTAATGATATCTAATGGCAATGCTACGACAATGAGTTTAAACCTTAACATCCTTGGTTCACCGAGGGGCGCTTTAAAGGATGACACATTGTGAACCGATCCTGTGGTCTCAGGATGTCTCACAAAAGCGGTCTCCTGAGGCTATACTTTGGCCCGACCGGATGGACAGGAAATCCTCCAACAGGTGGTGAACTCCACGATCCACTTACGATTTCAGGTGTTTTAAGAGGTGTTTTGCTTAATGCTATATATTTTTAAGAGTGTCAATACCTGTAAAGTGTCTATAAATGCTTTATATATGCTTTGAAGCATCGTGTTCATCGCCCCGCCGCTGCCACGGGTGTTTCCCGGCCAAATGGAGACCACGTCAGACTCCCAAAGCTGAGCATGCGCTGCACTCGTGGCGACAGGATGACCTGACCGAGTCGGTGGGGCTGGGAGCGGGGGCAGGGAGAGCTGCAGTGATTCTGCGCCTCGAAGTCGAACCACGAAGTCGAAGTCGAACCACGTCGAAGTCATGGGTCATGGGTCACTCGTGAAAGTCATGGGGCATTGCCGGGCATCAAAAGGGCATCATATCTTATATAACATTTTAACATATACAGGTGGACAATCAAGCCTGGCGCCATGGGGGTAAAAGGCGGATTCCTGGTTGACCATGTCTCGTAGTCCATTCTATCTATTCTGTTACATGTTGTGGGAAAGAACGTCGGAAATCCTCCATGACCCATGGCGCCATGAATAAAACCGAGACACGTTGAGGATGACGATCGCCGCCAACGTCAAGCACATCTGTCGCCAGTGACACCTCCTGACCCCCAGAGCTCTCGGGACCGTCGGTGGAAATCGGATCGAGCAGACCGCAGCAGACCACTGCAGACGGCGGTTTGACCGGGGGAGATTCCACTGGGGGGATGAAGGATGATGAAGTAATGAAGTACTCCCCTGCAAAGGACCACATGGAACCCCTACCACCACGTCGGGTTGTAGAGGAAAATGGTTGAAACCACCGGTCAATTCTTGGGTTCCATGTTAGTTTGGAGAGTAGAAGCTGTGCCAACCCGAGTGGCGCGTCGCGGAGGGTCACCCTGAGGAGAAAGTCACTAGACTTCGGTCATGAGGGCCCGGTCCCAACCCGGTCCCAAGCAGAAACACATGGATGGAATTCCCCAGTCCCAGCCACTTCCTATGTGAAGGATCTCAAGAAAACCGAAACAATCTGTTTCTGGTTCCTGGGAAACCCCGTTTCGTCGTCCAAAAGAAGACTTTTGGGCTTCACCGAAGACTCCTCAGACCAACCGAGCCAAAACACACCACGCTCTTCGGGCGACCGGCCCCCCGGCGGCGTTCAGGCGACGGATCGGACCGCGAGCAGAATCGGGCCTCCGCAAGAAGAGCTCGGAGAGGCCGAAGGAGACCAGGAGTGTATTGGTCACCTGGCAAAATGTGAACAGCCAGAGCTCCCTATACCCATACACTCCATGTATGGAATATATGCCTACATTGACCCCTCAAACCACCCCAATGTAGATATCTATGGCATACATGGAGCGTCTGGGATAGGGATCCAGTATGATCCAGTCGTCGTACCGGAAATGGTGCATGTTCAACGAGAGAGGTGCACTTGCAACGCTGGACAATGCCGGAAGAAGTCCTCCCCGGATTGAGCCTCGAGAAAGGTACTGGAAACCTGGGCCTCAGCTGTCAGTTGTGGTGCTAGTCTGATGTTTGTGAACTTACCATCAAAGCTCAAGCAGCCTGTCAGACCATCAGCCCAGTCCGCAGTTCATCTGTTTCGAGGCTCGAGAAATCCAACACTCCCGCGAAAACATCGAGAAATCCAACTCCACGGTGACTCCATGGCAGTCCGCCCCAACTCATGGCGGTCCAGACGGGTGACCGACCGACCGACCTCAAGAAACGCGACCGACCGACCGAGCGACCGACCACAAGCTTGATGTATACATTATGCTGTATACCGATATGTATACCGTATACATCTGGAGATACATGCATCCGTATACCTTGACCCCGGTCCTCGACCAACACCGGCATCTTCCCGTCCCACAACCGTCGTGTCTGGGACAGGTGCCACCACGATGGAGCTCGAAGGAGAGGACGCCGCTCCTTCGAGCCCAGCTCCTGACCGCACAAAAACGCGCCCCCGAAGGTGATCAACGAAACGAAAGGTCACAAATAGCATTGATGCTGTGGGACAAAGAAATTCTTCTTTTTTGATCAGATTTTATAATAGAGTCTGTGCTCAGCTATCCTTTATGTCCTTAAGTTGCTGTTCGCGCTTGGAAGCGTGGATTCTTACATCATCTCAAATGTATTCCAAGACACACAAAAACGCGAGATCGAACGCCCACACCGCTAATGGCCTTGAGCCAAAGTCCGCATGCAAGTCTGTAAGACCGGAACCCTTTGGTTACCTGGTTATTCCCTTGCACATGAGGGACACAGTCCTGTCATGCATGTGTGAAACTGGACCTGCATTTTAGGGTTGCCGTTTGGTGGTGCACTTCTTCTCCCCCTTCTTACTACGGCATGGCTTAACGAACTGCGGAGCTTGGGCGCTACTCGCGGCATGGCGTTGGACGCTTTAAGAAGTGATACCTGTTTTGTCAGAGGATCGGCTCTTTGTTTGTCTGTGGCGATATACCCTATCGTGGCATCAGGTGACTCAAAGACTTCATACAGGGAACCTAAGCCAAGACGATGAGTTTTAGATACATGACGCAGTTTCGGGCTGTATCCGGCTTCAATGATCTGCAAAACCGCTGCGTTGTCCTGGCGAAAGGCAAGCAGTGTAGGTCGGCCGAACAAAGTGCCACAGAGACCTTGCGCTGGAAGCCCTTCGCTGAACACTCTTGACGCAAGGGAGATTGTCTCCGCCTCCGTCGTTGACCTGCTGGTGGCCGTTTGTCGGCGGCTAGCCCAACTTATGGGGTAGAAGGAGTTAGGGCCTTCGATGGCCATTAAGATGCCGGAGGTAGTCTTCGTGCGCTCTATTCCCGAGCAATGGTCGCCGTCGGTATATAGGCTAATATGCAACTTGTCCATTGAATCCTTTATTGACCCGTCAAGAACATAGTTTTGCGTTGAGTTTATATAGGTCATGAGTCTGTACAAGCGTTTATCGTCCGCGACCGACCATTGAGTCAACCGTTTGGTTAAGTCTCCAACGCTTTTCATAAGGTCTGGGCGACAAAGTCTTGCCATTCACAGAATCTTCATCAGGATTCTTGATGCGTTCTCTGCCAAAACCCCTTTTGTTTCCCAGTCAGTGTCCAACAATGACCCGTCTGGAACATATGGAGTCGATGCTTTTGCAAGTTTTTGCTTTGCGAGAGCTTCATACGCTTCACATTCACTTTTTGCAAAATCTGCCAAAGAACACCTGATTGTAGTACCTTCTTCATTGCGGTTCGCCTCATGCTTCCTTCCTGTCCTTCCTAGTATGCGATCAACTGGAGTAGGTTCGTCAAACTCTAGATGTTTTGCCAGTTCTCTCCAAAAGCCTTCATGTGCTTCTTGGGGTCCTGACAACAACATGTCGTCTACGTACAAAGTCATAAGCAGCTTCTCTTTGGGGAACCAATAACTGCTTTGAAAGTCATCTAAATGAAGGGGCCTGACAAGGCGCACGCAAGGTCGCTCCCGATGAGAGTGCTCTTTGGGAGTCAACTCTCTTGGCAGTTCGACCCAAGTGGGTACCTTAGTCTTGAGCAGGGATTGGGTATAGGCGCGAGTCACGTCACTTTGCGTGGTCTTGTCACCGTGTGAAGCTCCATAAACTAGATTCAAGTTGATGCCTGCAAGTCCGGTTGGATTGACCTTTGCTTCCTGCAGCACTGCAAGTGTATTATCTGCATTGCGAATGTCATCCCCCTAAACACTATCCTGGCCTTTAGTTTTCTAAGCTCTGGGGTTTCGAAGTTCTTTACTGATAAGATTGTCATTAGCTTACCAATATTTATAGCTTCCCCCTTCGCCTTTGAACGTGCGACGAGATCATTTCTTGAATCACTTCATCGAAAGACCATGTGTTATTTGCATTGATTCCACTAGCCTCTTTCTGAATTGCTTCTTCCCAGCCTGGGCATTTGCGCCATTCATTCCTGTTTAAAAAGCAAATGCACTGCGGCAAGAACTTCATCAGGTGAGAACTCTTCGTGCCCTACAGGTTCACTTTCAAGTTCAACTGGCGCAGCTGGAATGTCAGCTTCATATAGACTATAGGAAACGCATCGTGCCATTGCCAATTTCCAACAAGAAGTCACTATTCGCCATGTTTTGAGATGCGGAACATTGTTTTTGTCACACATTCCAAAAGCACACCCTTGCGGTTCTGACACAAACAAGCGATTTCTTTTCACAAAATGCAGTAACTCAGGAATTTTCCATCCCTCAGCGCTCTTCGGCCACTCAAATGCACAATGGCCACTATTTTGCACGATGACTTCTGCACACCTGATGTAGTTCCTGAGAATCTTAAGAGACTTCTTCCTATCCTTTTTCAACTTTTGCTGGAACCTTTTGCCATACTGTTGACAGTTCAACCTTTGCCAACTAGACCAAGGACCACACGGTATGGAACCATACAAGTCTGCCCCGTTGAATTGGTGCGCCACGTTGATCAAGCAATCCACCACGACATCGTTAGACATATCCGTTTGTTTGGTCTATTGAGAGTCTAAAGTGGTTTATTCCCCGATCCATGTTTACCCCACCAAGGCTCGAATTCTTGGAACAGCAAAATTCAAAGCGTGTCCTACACTTTTCTCGAATCTTGCATTTGTCCTTTTGCGTCCTTGTTTCTGACACATCTTCTGTGGCTTTTAGAATCTCTTCAGCCAGCTTGTCGGGTCTGGAGACTCTGCCAACATGGATGCACAAAGACATTCAAAGCTTCCCGGTTTGGCGTTTTGTTCACCTTCAAGAAGACTGGCAGTTGCTGCAACCAATTTGGCTTGTGATTCGTTGATGAAGGGATCTCTAGGAAAAGAACCATGTTGATCCTACCCTACCCGTGACTCAGAACTTATCCTCTGGTATGGGCATTTGTTGCAGTCGTCCTTGTGGACAGAGATCTTCCCTCTGCGCTTCCATTCAGTAAGACGTTCATGAGAAACTTCACTTACATCGAATGGGCAATCTCTTCCTACTGGCGCGAAGAGCTTCTTTCTGGGTCTGGCGTGAACCCTTTTCCATGCTTTCCTATCCGTGTCAAACTCCCAGAAATCCCCATCCCCGCCCCCCTTGAACTCTGACGAATCCAAAGCTGGCATCGCGGGAGCGCTGGGCGCTGATTCACGAACCGCAGGTGTACGAGGGGTTGGTGGAGCCCTCATACCTTCTGCCCTTGCTTTTGCTGCAAGTCGCTCCTCTTCTAGACACACTCGGAACCTTTCGTGGCATTCATCTGTGTGTGGCGCTCCTTCAGCTATTCGCTCACAACCTCTACAGCCTGGGGTTATACCATACTTTATGGCCCTTTCCAAAGTCACATATGTTCGTCTTTTGAACACTCTAGGAATGGCAACGCTTCCATAGGTTCTATAGATGGGTGTTGGAGCGTCGGCTTGAACAACTGCAACTGGTTCATCTTTGCTTCGAACAATGGAAAAAACCCAATTTCCCTCGGTGGGTTCAACAAGTTCTGACTTGTAGATTTGAATGGGTCTACCACTACCCTTAGCTTTTGAAATAAGATTCTGGCAATCAAGAACCAAATGGACATCACGGTGATGAAACCCTGCATCAATCCTCCAACCCACAAAGATGCCTGGATATGTCCTCGGCTCGAATGCGGGGAGTTCACGGTGCTTTGAGGTTTGTAGTTTACAAGCCAACCAAATGGAAGTCTCAATCCAGTGAACGCTTCACCTGCGGCAGCTTCATAGCAAGTCTGAGTGCTCTTTTCTATCTTCTTTTCATCAGACTCATTTGGGTGAATCTGAGCTTGGTTTGTGATTGCATGAGCTACGCAGAAATACTCTACTCTAGGCCAGCGCTGATGATCCAAACCTGATTTCAAAAGAATTGCTCTTGCACCTTCCTTTATGGAACGAATGCATCTTTCTAGTTTGCCGTTGTGGGCGGGGTCATTAGGAACACTAGGACTTGGCAACCAACCCAAATACCTTACAGCATCTATAAGTTCGGCCGCTGCATCGGTCTTTGCGATACAGAGTGCTTTCCCGTGTGCCCTTGTCCCACCGAACGCTTGCAAAGCTCCGATGTTTGCGTCTGTTGTCCTAGTGGTTTGTGGAAATGCTTGTAGACATCCGGAATACTCATCAAAACACAGGCCTGTTCACCTTCGGAACCTTTGGACAAGTCTTTGCCGATGATGATATGATCTGCTCTTACCCTGTGACCATAGTGCAAAGGCGGCATCTCTTCCGGGTCAACTTCTAATCCCTTCTTTCGGTGTGTCTTGGCCTGCATTTTGCTTCTCCTACAGATTTCACAATACCTGTTCTTAGGGAAGTGGGTCAGTTGATGATTCAGGGAACTTACCTGTAACTCTAGCTTTTGTCTAAGCGATGGAGTCCATGGATTGAGTTCCTCATCTTCTGAGTCCAATGCAGTGTCGTGAGGCTCCCTCAGGAACGGAAGCAAAGAGTTCATCTGCCTCACTAACACTACCGAAGTGCGGGAACTTTTCCTTCAATTTCAACGGCTTTTTGATTCTAGGCAAATCGTCTGGATGTACAGGTTCAGGCGGTGGTTCCGGAGGCGGCGGCAATGGAGGTGGCTCCGGTGGAGGCGCACAGCGACGAACTTGTATAAGCCTCTCAAAGATGCGAGTCTGAACCGCATTTGGAGGCCTCCGGATCTTTTCAAGTGTTGCAAACCTGCCCAGGTAGAGGTAATTCAGTCAATGGTGAAAATGTGAACCAGCCTCCTCTGCATAATTACCTGAAGCCGTCGTTTGCTCAAACCGGGACCACTGCCACCAAAACATCTTGGAAAAGGAACTGGCAATGGAAACGCTGTGGTCTGGGGAGGTGGCCCGCTCTAGCAAGATGCCGTGCAAAACACTGGCGATCGAGGTAGCGCCATGCCCCAGGATAGGAACGTGGCGCTGGATGTCAAGAGGTCTCCTCCTCTGCTCTGCCCTTTCCTTTTCT